GCTGTTGAGAGTTAAGAAACTGTTAAGAGATTTAAACTGTTGGACTGCTCAGGCCTCTAGGAGGAAAGGAAGTCCCATCACCAGAATATAGGGCTTGGAAGGTCCTCCCAGGCCATCAAACCCAGTCCCCCCCGCATTTAGGGGCAACTAGTTTTCCAGCCAGTATTGCTACTCCTGACCCCAGGAGTCTAGCAAAGAAACCCTGCTCTGCTTTATCTCCAGCCCCTCTGGTATTCTGCCAACCTCTCTTCATGCAAGCACCTTGCTCAGACTGGAGCAGGTTGCCATCAGGACATTTCTGAGTTCATCTGCTCTTGTTCGCTCCCACTCATCACACTCATTGCACCCATGCCAACTGATTTCCACAGGCTGCAGTCACTGGAGGTACTTTGTTCCAAGGGGCCTCTCTCCCACTCTGCATATCTCTACAGGTTTGGTAACCTGCATACACAACACACCTAGGAATGTGCTGGAGTGCCAGCTTTCTTGGCTGCTGCCGCTCATTCTCCCAGGATGACGTGGGAACCATCAGCATGTCGAAGTGGCAGGGAGGCAGGGTCACACTTGCTCAGGCAGGGAGCTCAGTGTGCATTGGCAAGCAGGGGGGTGTAGGCATCCCTGGCATGCTAAACAAGGTCTGTGTCCCGTCACGAGTGCCTTGCAGTATAGATTGGTACTGGCTTCTTCTGTTCCTCTCTATGCCACCCCACCTTGGTCTAACACCAGCCAGCAAACCTGTTATGGGAATGTTATTCCCAGTGCTGTGCTGATGGTAATGGGGAAATTGAGGTACAGAGGAAATGACTCATCTGTGCTCAACACTTGGAGCTATCTATAACTTGGGAGCACTGCCTCTTTCCCCATGTGTTCTAATCGCTGTCTCTGCTGTACACAGTGAAAATTTGCCTGCTGGTAGAGCCTGAAACCCTAATGCAGCTGCAGCAGACAGCTTTGGCTGCTGCATACTGAGGGTCAAGTGGGGCTCTCGCTCTGCTTGTGTAGCTATACTGAAGTTCATGGGGATGCAACTGAGGGCAAGGTTGGGTTTGAAGCATATGCTGCATGGTACAGGCAGGCATGTGCCCTGTCAGCAAGCATGCTCAGGGCACATGCATAGGAGAGCCAGATTTCTCTCCAGCCATAGGACACAGGAAGCCTGGCGGGGCCAGGAGCCTCTAGGAAGCATGTCCCAGGAGGCTTACGTCATTGCTGACCCTTGCAACTCTTGATCTGGAGCAGAGCTGCTGAATGGCTGTTCCTGATTTAGGAGCATGATGTCTCTTGTGCTGGGCCTGGGCCAGCCCCCTCATCCTCATTCATCCTCAGTGCCCCGTGAGAAAGCTGCAGGGCTGGGAAAGGTCATCCTGGCTGAGCTCACTTATGCAGGCTTCGGATCATCCAGGCAGTGGACAGGATGCATTGGGACTGGACTGGAGATGGAAAATCAGCGGTTTTTGTTCTCGATGCCCTGCGCTCTGCTTCGTGGAGTGGCGAGAGTGAAGCTGACAGCCTGCCATCATTCTGCTGCCTATTCCCACCCCCTCAAGACTCTTAAAACAAGCCCAGTGCATTCATGGGCTCCAAGCACATTTGCCAGACTTTTCAGGAGTTGTGCAGTCCAGGAGAGGTTGGCAGACCCATGGCATTCACTAGAGACCAATGGGAGAGGGACACTGTGGGCAAGGGAAGCAACCTGTAAAATCTGGGCTACATGAGACCAGTTTAGGGGAAGCTGTGAGGATGAAGGGGACATCTACCCCCAGACTCAGCTAAAGGCAAATGAGATGCCAGGCAAGAAGGGCTGAAGTTCAGAATAGGAACAAGTAGTGCTGGGGGTCAAAATGGCCCTAGAGAGACCCCTCCCTGGATGGCCTATCCCACCAGAAATGACTGTCCTACAAAAGGGGGAAGAAGAGAGCACCAAACCTCATCTCAGGCCTGAAGGAAAGATGGAGAGGGGTGGTGGCTGGGCTGACTTTTTCCAGGGAGGAGAAGACTCTGCAGGAAGATCTGTGATTTAGCTCCATGCTCAAAGGGCTCAAGCAAGTCAGTAGAGAGAAACCACCCCGCTGGGAAGCAGGGTGTGGGGCATAAACCTGGGAAGCCTGTGGGGAACCTGGTAGAGCATCTCTCAGGAGGGTAATGAGCAAACTGGGCCAATTCCCAGAGCAGGCAACTGGAGACGAGACAGGCTGTCTGATTTGCATCTTGGATAGATGGCACTGAGGGAACAGTAGATGGTGGCATTCTGGTAAATGCTGAAGAAGTGCCTATGAGGGGTTAGAGGTGACAGGGATACTATCATTAATTTCTTCCCCAGACATATCTTCCTGTGTCTAAGAGCCTACACGGTTAGCATGGGTAAGGCACGCCATCAGCTGTGACCAATGGCACACAAGGAAGCAACATGGCCAGCATCACATCCAGCCATCTCTGACATGACCACCCAAATGACCAGATACCCATTTACAGCTGGGCCAACAGGGAAGGCCTTTGGCACAAATTTGGAGCAAGGCTTGCACTCATGGCATTGGACCCTTACTGAGACACCTTCCCGCACTACCCCACCCCTCTCCTGGGAAGTATTGTTGCTCTCATTGGCCTTGTGTTCAAATCTGTAGGAGCGTGAGGGATTCACCCATCACCTCCATCAGCTGGTTTTGCCTTCTCGGAGCTTGCCCTTCAACAACTCACCTGAGTACAACCGTAACTTCCTCTCTACACCTGTGCCTTCAAAGGGTTCTTGAACTAATCCCAAACCTACAGGGACAACAGCAGCTAACTGAGGTACTATGTAGCTGAGTGGAGCCTCATCATTTCATATCACTCTACAAACAAGTGGCTTATTCAGTTGGTAGAACCCATAACAACTGAAGGGTAAACTCTCCTGGAGGGAAGGCACAGACAAGGTGAGTAAGTCACTGAGGGCCAGCCAGCTTAAAATAGAGGCTAGGATCCCCAGCAGCCTACCAATCACACCCTTTGCTTACAGCAGAGCTTGAAGGCCCCAGCTTGGCTTTGACACGATAGCTATAGCCATCATGCAAGGCAGCCTCTGGAGGCACAGTGAAACTGGATAACAACTCCTGTGATGGACTGTGGTCCATTGTTCCTGCTGTCTCTGCTGCTGCTGAGCCCCTCATCCCCTGGCCAAGGTCAGCCTGAGGTGCTGGTGGCTGCACTCTCCTTTCTGCCAGGTTTCTTCTAGGCTGATATACAAGTGTCCATGTAATTGGGCTGCATTACTGTTCCCAAGGGAAGCAGCAGGCAGACAAGGGCAGCATAGCAGTTGCTGTCAAGGGGGTGGGTATGGCTATATTTTTAACCCAGCCGCCTGTTCAGTGGGGTTTCAATAGGGCCTTGTACTGAAACAGGAGCCTGTGCCACGGCTGCTGCCAGGCCATGTCATTGCGTGGTGCAGATGTTACTGCGCTCCCCCTCCCTTGTCCCTAGCCTCCTTGCATGTGCCGGGAGCCAACGTTGCTGTCTGGACAGATGGGGTCGGGGGGTCGAGTCCTATCACTTACACCGAGCATGTGTCTCCCACAGGGGGTGGAGGGTGGGGGTTTAAAGGGCCAGCTGGCGGGGACGGGAGTTTTGCTGTTTCTCATTGCTGGGGACATCACTCCTATTTGTGCTGGAAGCTGATCCGTCACTCAGGGAGAGCTGAGCAGCGACGGCTCCTTTCGAGAACAGATCCAGGGACATCTTCTGAGCAACCCTGGAAGAGGAAGCATCCCAAGACCATAGGAGCCGCTAGGGTAACCTGAGTCCTCACTGAAGGCTACTTTCCATCTGCGCTCCCTGTGGAGCCCAGAGGTCAGGGTCACAGCCCAGGACCAAACTGGTCTGCGGGGAAGGGCACTCTCCTCCGGTGGCCTTTGGCCTCCTTGATACCAAGGACATGGAGATGCTGCAGGCAGGGGCTGTCTGAGGAGAGGATGCTGTGTCCCTCCGTGACATTAACCCCATGCAGGGCTAACCACAGAGCTAAGATCTGAGTAGGGACACAACAGGTGGAGTGTGAGGGACAAGAGGAGAGGGGTTAGCTGGGGATAGAAGGTGAGCGCCAGGCTCCGGAGAGGGAAGTAGAGCATCGCTGCTACACGTGAAATTCAACCCTCGGCCAGATGCCGTTCCTGGGGTGCCACATGGGGCTGCTTAAGGGAGGGCAGCGTTTCCCGGGAGAGCAGGCCTCAAAGCTACCGTGGGGGCACGGGGCACATGCTGCTTCTCAGCCCTTATCAAAAAGGGGCCATCTGTTTCCCTGCCTTTCCTAGATCTTTCTCCGGCCGGCTTGGAGAGCGACAGCTGCCCGAGCGAGGAAGCCTGCTGCTGAGCTTGTGGTAAGGCCAAGTCCCACATGCACACCAGGATAGCTCCCCTCTGCCCCGCTCCTCTTGCAGAGCTCTCCCTGCTTCTGCCCAGCAACCCCCCGGGGAACTCTCCTGACCCCCTGCTCCCTTCCTTCTCCCATGGGAGCCGCCTCAGCCCCGCTCCATCCCACCCCAGCTCCTCCTCACAGCAAAGCCTTCCACCCCTCGCCCCACAGCCCAGGGGCAGCTCCCGAGGCAGCGAACCCCCATCCCCTCATTCAGGTCCTTCAGGACCTGCGGTTACACAGCAGCGCAGCTCTGCCTCTGCTGCGGAGGGGCAGCGCCCCCCTCCCCATGCGCTGCACTGGGGGCATGAGGCGGAGGAGGTGGGGGAGCCCCCCCGTTGCCATGGCGCCCCCTCCTTCCCCCTCCCCCGTTGCCATGGCGCCCGCAGAACTTTGGGGCGGCGGGAACCCAGGCGCATCCCGCGGGCCGGGGCGCACGGCGCTGCAGGTGGAGCCGGGCGCGCTTGG